CAAGTCTTAAAATATCCAAAAAGATAATTAAAACCATGAGAGACAGACATAATCCTCATGTCATGATATTCAAATCAGATCATAAATCAAGAGAGACAGATATAATCCTCTTGATTATATAAATACTTTTAATAAAAAAGATTAGAGTTTACATGCTTCACAAAGAAGATATGTCCTAAGTTGGCACAAGATACATTGTATAATCTAAAATAAGAGGCAACGTAAAAGATGGTGTCTCATACACCATAGTTACACCTTTGATGCTTTCTCGACCAGACTCACTCCTGTAAAAATATTAATCACGGGAAATGAGACTTAAAAGTCCCAATAACCAAAAATTAATATATTATTATGCATGCGGATAACTAATCATGCGACTGCTAAGTAGGTACACAAAACATTTAACCAAACAATACTTTCAAACAAACCGAACAAGTATTTAATTTGCATGACTACACCTTATATCCTCCTTTCGTCATGCTCGGACGCCAAATCACCCGGCTAAAGGTGAGTTGGACCAAGCGACACGCCACTCATGGGGTCTAATGAGGGCTTACCACGTGGTTATAATTAACTGAACAGAAATTCCCATTAACACCATATATTAAAATACCCTGATAAGTCATGCATCATTCAAATATCCAAACAGGAATATATCCGAACAATAATATCTCATCATGATAAACAAAAATAAATTTTTGACCCACTTGGCAATAATTTCAAACAAGTATATGTATACAGTATTTATTTTCATTAATTCATATTTTTTTCAAACAATAAAACAACACATAACCATTCACAAACACACCCATCACAACACATTAATAATGGTTACCTTGTGTCTTGAATAACAAATTCCCGTTCACAACTCCTTTTTCACCATTATCTTTGTCAATATAATCTACATAATTATTTCACAATACTATATATTAATTTTACATTAAAATAAATAACTCTAATTTAAAGAGTTAGAAAGTCTTAGATCTATAATCTATATTAACACTAATTTAAGATTTATGCCTCATTTAACTTCTCAAATTCTTTTTCTAAAATTCTCGTACCCTAATAAATTATTTTTTTATCCTCAAATCACTTCTAGTATCACAGTTTCATTCTTCTATATTTTAAAAATTCATTTAAAAATAAATTAAAAATTTTAGAATTATCCTCAAGCCTCAAATCATCTTTCTATATCCTCAAAAATACCTATTCATACTTAAATAAATATTTAATAATCAGAGGTTCATCCCTACATCTTAGATTCGATATAAATTCAACCATATAGATCTAGAGTTTAACTCAAAAATTCTTAAATATGAGTTTCAACCTCAAAAAAATATTCTATAATATTTATTATATCCTTAAGAGCTTTAACCTATATTTTTAATCTATTCATCAGATTAACTATCCTATAAAAAAATTTTAATCAGAATATTTTCTCTATCCTACAAAATAATCATATCACTAGAAAGCTGATACTATTAGAAAATAACTATAAAATTAATTTTGTAATTAAATAATTTTTTAAATGCTAATCTAAACAGGAAAGTTAGAACATACCTGAAGAAAAAGAAAATAATCCCCCTTGCAAGAAGACGCCGAGCAACGTGAGAGGAAGAGAGAAAAATAATATAAAAATGGGATTGTGGGTCCCAAAATTATATTAAAAAAAACTATAAGTTTGAATTTAATTATTCAAAACTTTGGGCCATTACTTACAATTTTTTCTAAATAGCATCTTGGGTCCTTAGTTGCAATTTTTACAAATTGCATTAGCTTTCTTTTTACCTTCCTCTACATGCTCTCACATTTTTTTATACATGAAGAATCCTTTTCTCGTCCCACATCTAACCGATGTGGGACTTCTACACCCCTCTTTCATTTTTTTTACTTTCTTTTCTTTTTTTTTTAACTCACACACACACAATTTTTTTTAAATCTTAAAATTATATTTTAATAAAATATTTCTTATAAAATTTTAAACCTAAATTTTTAATTCATAAATAAATTTTTAACGATATTATTATTTCTGAATAATCTCAAATAATATAAATTCTTATTATTATTATTTATTTATTTTTTTAAATAAAAACTTAAATTTCACAACAATTTTTTTATCTAAAAAAAATTAAAATGTTACAGTTTTAGTTTGGATTTTAAAACTATAATTTCTATTATTTTATAGAGGTTCAAGAATGTAATTTTTTAAAAAAATTATGTCAGACAACTTCAGAGTAATGACTTTATTTTGTGGCACTTTTTTTGTGATTTGAATATTTGGGTGAGATTTGTTTGCCATTCTTCTTTTTATTTTTGCCAGCTTTATAGGATCCAAAAATATTTATTTATATTTTTTAGAAAAATATAAAGTTTGCTCACTGAACTTATTCTCAATTATTAATCCCGTCTCTAAACTTTGACACGGAATAATTCAATCCATACACATTTTAAATAACTCAGGTCTTGTAATTTTTTGATTCAATACCTATCATTTCCTATAATTCTTTAACTCAATAGCATACAAGAATTGGATATAATAAGTCAAAATTAAAGAATTAAATTAATAATTAAAAAATTAAGGACTAAAAATTATATTAGCCTATTTGAAATTGTTTCTATTTTATTGTTTTAAAAATTAATGGTTTGTGGAACATGTTCTAAGAACAAAAAAATGATAAAAATAAATGTTTTTCTCAATTTTTTATTCTTTAAAATAATAATTCTAAGATATTTAAAAGATGTTTCTGTTTTTTTATTCTTCAAAAATAATATTTAGTTTTTTTATTTTTTAAAATACTTTCTGAAAATATATTACTAAATAATTTTTTTATTTTTTTTATTTTGAAAATAAAAAATTATTTTTAAAATAGGTTGCTAAATAGGCTCAACACTGAAAGCTAAAATCTACCACATGAACAAACTCGTTCGTACATACTGCATCTCATGAACAGTTGACTTTAGATTTCTTGGTTTCATACCTATTAGGCAATTACAGGCAAAATTTCAGTCCCATGGACCATCTGCAATAAATGAAATTAAATGTTCCTCAGTAAAGGAGAGTTAAGAGAGAAGGAATGGCACTCTGGTTATTATAGGAAAACACAAGGGCAATTTTCATTGGTATATTGATTTGTCATTTTATATTAGCCGGAAGTGAATGGATGATATGGGATAGAATGAAGTCAGTTTTTGTTGGCAAAAAATAAGTACACACAATTAGCATAAGCTAGAGTTACGTACAAATCCCAAGCAAAAAAATTAATTACTTATAAATCCAATCTATTTGTAAATATTGAAGTTTAACATGCAATTCTAAAAAGAAAAAAATGACAATAAAATATTTTTAAAATAGACAAATGATAAATAGAATGTGATAATTATTTTTTAAGAGATTTGTTTGTCATTTTAGAAACGGCATATTTTCTTGCAAGAAACAAACTCAGCCAGGAAAGTTAGAATTTCATTTGATCTCAACCATCAAAATCTCCATAAATCCTTGAAACAATCAAAGTTCAAACAATGGAGTGAACAAAATCTTAGTCCCCCCTCTTTCTGCATTACAGTTCAAATCCTAAACTAAGTACTTGAATCTCAAACCACCCGAACACGAAAGGGATTTCATTAGAAAGTCCACTATAACGGTGAACTTGACAGCATTGTATGAGATAATGGTGACAAATCTCCAGTTTAAGGTGTGTTCACGCCGTTAGTGAGTTCTTACAGGTTGCTGATGTTATGCGAAACTCGGGGTACGTGGATCGGTGTGTCAGTGGTGTGTCAAGCATTCACGACAGGGATTATGCCGATGACAAAGATAGAGGCGGTGCCCTTGTTGATGAGGAGGTACAAGGAAAGAGGAACATGAGAAAAAGTGTGAAAGTATTCGAAGGATTTTTGGAGATTTTGGTAATTGGGATCAAAGAAAATTCTTTGATTGAGGTTGCTTGTGGCAAGGAAAAATAAGTCATTTCTCAAAAAATGACAGACAAGTTTCTCGAGACTAACAAATAATTATCACACTTGGCGGTACTTATTTATCATTTGCCTATTTCAGATGTATGTTATCATCATTTTCTCTTACAAAAATTTGATTTGTAAATAGACTTAAAAAAAAAAGAAGGAATGTGATTGTAATTCTGCCTAACTACAATCCTCGCCCATAAGAGAGGGAGGAAAAACTTACACTCCACAAACCCAAAAAGAAGCTTGTAACATGTATTATGCTCCCTCCATTTATAAATATGGGATAAAATAACAAATTCACACAATTTAAAAAACTTATTAAATGTAATAATTATGTCTAAAATTAAAAAAATTTGGACTACATTATTCTTGTAATTAATGAAACAAATTTACTTATTAAGAATAAACATTGACTTTATGAGAAACAATTTTAAAAAAGACGATGATTGGTTTTTGAAATTTATAATTTTGTTGATAAATAAAAATAAAAAGACATATAATAATTTTTCTTATATTTAAAAGTTGAAAGAATATGAAAGAGATAAACAAGGTCAATCATGGTCTTCTATTTTAAAATCACTTTGGAGAATTAACAAGGTAAACAAAAAGAAAGGAGTACGATGTTGGATATAGAATAATTAAGCTTTATCAAGTGGATGTGACGCAAATAATAACAATCTAATTCCTTAAACATTATTTTAAAATTTGTTTTTGAGAGGTGTGTATTGAAAAACATGTTTTAAGAGAGAATAATTTTTTAAATAATTCTCAAATTTTTTAATGGATTAGTTTCACAGCTGTCAATTATAAAGATACCTTAAAAAAAAAATCTTTGACTATAAAAAAGGGCTCAAAGTTAAAAGCTAAAAAATAAATTTAAATATATGCTAGTATATTAAAGAAGGGAAATTTTAAGCTGCAATGATGAGTAGAGGGGCACAAGTGGGTGGAAGCTGCTTTTACAATTGCACGCTGAGAATGGAATGGTATTATTCCATTGCAGAAAACAAAACCCTCAAAAATCCTATCCTATTCCTATCTCTATTCTTCCAAACAGTAATAGCCAGTATGGTACAAAAACAAGTTCCGGCTTTTCTTTTCTTTGTTTTTATTTTTTCAGGTCGAATTTTCCGATGAATGATTGTCACTTTCCGTATTCGCAGCGTATCCTGATGTTCTCACCTCAGGTTGTGATCCTAATTCCCAATCCTTTATAAAATTTGTTGACTATTTCTAGTTCTAGCATGCTTTCTACTTTAGTATTTGTCCATAGACGCGCGCATGTACACATGCTTTAGAGTTTATTTTACTGCGAGCCTTTGTAGTCTCTTGGGGTGCGTTAATGTCTGGATTTGATGGGATTTGCAACGCCCTCTGATTCTTTCCATTCGTTTAAATGTCCAAATCACATGGGGCAGGACTATTTGACTGATACGACATGACTTTGGATCATTTAATCTTCTGCGTTTGCTGTCAACTGACTAATTTTTTTTTGGCTATAAAATCCCACCTAGTAAACTACTAGTATAGTATTATTCCTCCCGCAAACCAAGCTTTTGGTTTTCCCTCCTTCTTGGAACTTCTACATCTCCTCTCCTCCAAGAAAATTCTATCTTCTATATTTTCCTTTCTTTTTACTCTGAGTTCGTGAACTGACTCCCTGAGGCCTGTCGGTTTAGTTTCCTTTTGGGTTTGCTTAGTGGGAAGATTATTGCTCGCTATAAGTGGTATCCACTTGGTATTTTGTGCGCACCTTGTTTCACTAGCTGTTGGATTCTGCAACACTGAAGGGGAGTGTTTGTCAGCTGGAGTTTAGTTAACTGAATTATGCTAAGAAGTACATAATTCAGATTCGAGTGAAACAAACTGAGACAGCCATGAAGTTTATGAAACTGGGATCTCGTCCTGATACTTTCTACAATGCAGAAGCAGTAAGGTGAGACCTTGTCAGCTAGTTTGGGAGTCTCTTCTTAGAAGATGTGAAGAAATAAGAAATTCTTTCTCTTTGTATGCAGGTCAGTCTCTTCTGAAGTATCCAGCGACCTAATAATCCAAGTGAAGGGAAGTAGGTATCTTCTTCATAAGGTGTGTCTCCTTAAATTTTTGAAATTAGGATACAGTTGATAATAATCTCAGTTGTTTTTCACTTTTCCTGCTACTTTAATGTATCTTTCAAGTTCTTGCTGGTGCTATTCAGTTTCCCCTACTGTCCAAGTGCTTGCGGCTGCAAAGATTATGCTTAGAATCTCCTGACACTTCTCCACCCCAAATAGTCCAACTTCCTGATTTTCCTGGTGGGGTGGAGGCATTTGAATTGTGTGCCAAGTTCTGCTATGGTATTACCATCACTCTAAGTGCCTACAATGTTGTAGCTGTAAGATGTGCTGCAGAATACTTGCAGATGACTGAGGATGTGGAGAAGGGGAACTTGATTTACAAGCTTGAGGTTTTCTTCAATTCTTGCATTCTTCATGGTTGGAAGGACTCAATTGCAGCTCTACAGAGCACCAAAGCATTGCCATTGTGGTCAGAGGACTTGGCAATCACAAGCAGATGCATTGAAGCAATTGCCTCAAAAGTCTTAAGTAACCCCTCCAAGGTGAGTTTGTCGCAGAGTCATTCCCGAAGGGTCAGGGACGATGTGTCTTGCAATGGAACCGAAATTCAGAGACATAAATCTGCAAGCAAAGGATGGTGGGCCGAAGATGTAGCAGAATTGAGCATAGACCTCTTTTGGAGAACCGTGATAGCAATTAAATCAGGTGGGAAGGTGTCCTCAAATCTCATAGGTGATGTACTTAAAATTTATGCATCTCGATGGCTACCTACTATCTCAAAGAATGGACATATCAAGAAAAAACAAGCAACTTCTAATTCTGACCCAGACTTGGCTAATGAAATAACTTCAAAGCATCGTCTGCTTTTGGAATCACTAGTAAGTTTGCTTCCGGCAGAGAAAGGTGCTGTTTCTTGTAGCTTCCTTTTCAAACTCTTGAAGGCGGCCAATATTCTCAATGCTTCTTCCTCTTCAAAGATGGAATTAGCTAGACGGGTAGGGCTTCAGTTGGAAGATGCCTCAGTAAATGATCTTTTAATACCTTCAGTATCCTACGATACTGATACCTTGTATGATGTTGAGATGGTGATAACCATATTGGAACAGTTTATGTTACAAGGGCAGAGCCCCCCAACTAGCCCTCCGAGATCCAGGCTTGACTTTGACAGAAGAAGGTCTCGTTCAGCAGAAAATATTGGCTTAGAATTTCAGGAGAGTAGGAGGTCGTCTTCAGCATCTCATAGCTCAAAACTTAAGGTAGCAAAGCTTGTGGACAGGTATCTTCAGGAGGTGGCAAGAGATGTGAATTTGCCTTTGTCAAAGTTCACTGCGCTTGCTGAAACAATACCAGACTTTGCAAGGCATGACCATGATGATCTCTACAGAGCCATTGACATTTATCTGAAGGTGAGTGTTAAAAATTTTACGTCTTTATCTGTTTTCCAAGTCACTGCAATTTGTTCACCGATGAAATGAATAGTACTGTAACTGAAACTGAGAAGAGAAAAGTAGGTTGAGCATGTTTCCTTTTCACATTTTAGGATGTGGGACACAATTAGTGGATAACCAACTCTCTTGACTTAAAATCTTGTCTTATACAACATTTATTGGCGGTTAGGTTTAGGCTGACCCACCAGAAATTTTGCATGAATAATTCCACCTTCTGAGCAATGTGAATTGTACTTTTTATTCAGGCGTTTGTGAATTCACCAAGCTAAAAACAAGGAAGAGGGAAAAATATTCAGGCCCCGTTTGGTAGTTTGGAATCATGGAGAAAGAAATGGAATTGGACATGGAATCTGTTAACATGTGTGTTTGGTATGCAATAATTATGATTCTTTGGAATCAGTATTCAAGGAAATTTGACAGAATCCAATTCCATCATATGCATCATGGAATTCAATTCCATGGTTCCCTTTCTCCAATTTGCCCCTTCTCTCTCCTCCAATATAATTTTTTTTTAATTTTAAAAAGGACACTTTAGTCTTTTCTTATTTTAAGTACTTATATTTTATTAAAATTATATCAGGATTCCATCATCATACCAAACACACTTTTAAATCCAATTCTATTCCAATTCCAATTCCAATTCCGATTCCGATTCTGATTCTGATTCCATTAAAAACTCTTCCATCATACCAAACATGCTATCAGTGAAAGTTGGTGTCGAGTTACATCATGTAGCTACCAGAATGTTCAGTAGACGGGGAGAAAAGGAAAAGCGAAAACCTGTTCCTTAGTCCTTTACATTATTAATTTGTGTGTCTCCTACTCCCCCTTTTCTTTCTACGATCGATTGACTATTTAAACACTGAAGTTACACCTCAGAGTACTCTTCTATGATGTAACATGTCTGGCTGTCAGTTCAGTCAAACTCGTAGAAACTAGGCCAAGGTAGGAAAATTAGAGAACCAGTGCCTACTTTGCATCAATAAAGTTTCTATTTTGTTTTACTGTAACAATCAGGCTCATCCAGAACTCAACAAGAGTGAAAGGAAAAGACTATGCCGAATCCTTGACTGCAAAAAACTGTCTATGGAAGCCTGCATGCATGCAGCCCAGAATGAGCTTCTTCCCCTAAGAGTAGTCGTCCAAGTTCTTTTCTTTGAGCAAGCTCGAGCCGCCGCGGCTGGTGGGAAAGTGACAGACTTGCCAAGCAACATCAAGGCACTTCTTACTGCACATGGCATCGACTCATCAAAGCATACAGCACCATTTAGTACTACTACAAGCGTACATGCTGAGGATCAATGGAGTGTTTCGGGCTTCAAGTCACCAAAGTCTAGGACTTCAACTCTCAGGATGAAGCTAGCTGAGGATGATGACTTAGAGGAAAATGAAGGAATTGGAAGAACTTCCAAGTTTAAGGGTTTCTGCGCTCTTCCTGCTCAACCCAGAAGAATACTTAGCAAGTTATGGTCCAACAGCAAAAGCTCCCCTGAGAAGAAATGAGTGAGTTTTGTTAATTTTCAGTTTAGGGAATGGTACTTTGCAGGGTAACATAGAACTCTACTTTCTCTCCTTCGCTAAAATGCATGCCAACTCTAGGGGGATTAACATGAATATCTCAGTGTGCATTGTTGATGTAACTTGTTCCAATAAAAATATGATTTTCTCCAACTGCATAGGAAAATCTCTTTGGTAAATCTCGTGTAAAAAGCTGGTATAGGAATTGTAGGTGTAAGGGCCCATTGTGGGGTCCAATGCTGCTGTATTTTGTCTACATATCTGAAACACACGTCTCTGTTCATCCTTGGATTCTGACTTTGTTGACAAATCTTTTCCTGGGATCTCTTGTCTGACATAGTGCAATATTGTTGTAATGTCAGTTTATATTTGGCTTATCTGTTTAGATTACACAGATTATCTGATACTTGATGAGATGATATGGAATTATGGCCAAGATTTGAAGGGGTGTCACATAATTGAAGTTGTGCGTACATTTATTGTTCTAGCCTCTCTTCTTGACAGAGATGTGTCATTAATCAATCGTCCTGTGAGGCAATCTGCCATTATTATTATTATTGTAACAAGGATAGCGAATTATAGACTCTAAAGCCAGCACAAAACGAGGAATAAAATCCATTATTGATGAGATACGATTCGCTAATGAGTATTATTGAGCCCATGACCATGAGAATTTTAAAACTGATCATGTTTCTCTCTTGAGAAATAGAAAATCGTTTGAGCTTTACGGGGGAAAAACAATCCTGTAGAAGATGTCAAACAAATTATTGTTGCCTTGAAACTTGAAAGTCATAGTTCTCGGATTTTCTTTAATTTCTTACATATGTGGGCATTGAGCTGACTTCTTGATTGAAATAATATCTACTGCGACAGAGGTAGGTTGCTTTTTGTGTGGTTGTCAAGAAATTATTATACCTTACCAGAGTATTTTGATCAAATATTATTAGATTTTGCTATAATTTAAACTATTTAATTTAAAAAAATTTCTCTCTCTCTATATATATATGCATATTTTAAATAATAATTATTTAAAAAGGATGGATTTGAGCTGTAAACAGAGTTTTTCCCCACAAAAGTCAACTTCAAATCTCTAACTCTGGAGCTGGGATCTCCGTTTGAGGAGGAGCAAGCAATCATCATCGTTGTTAACATCATTGCTGCAATCAGGGGCGAAACTACCTCAGGGCCCCCAGATTTTTTTTTTTTTGTTATTGTTATCTGTAAGGTGTGGGTATAGTTATGTTGGGAGATAGTTTTCAGGCCTCCAAACCTTGTTTTTTTAGATAACATGATTTTATACTCTTAGCTTCATAATGATATTTAACCCAGCCCAACTTAAATATATGGTCCAGCCCAAAACCCGTGTCCAGTTCGGCGTTCTGAGTTCCTCCCTGATTTTGATGAATGATGATGTAATGTTGATGAATCATGATGGTCTCTTTCTTTGATTTTTCTCCCAAGTCCCAAAATGAATTTAATATTGAGAACGGATGATGGTCATTGGATGGCAAACGGCCAAGGGGCACCACGACACTGACACGCACTCACTTGACACATTATATATGTTTTGGAATGAAATATTGAGAATGAGATATTATATAGGTTTTGGATTTTGAAATTTGAATTTATATGAAATTGATTTTTTTTTTGATAAACTGATATTGAGATGGTTATTTGTATTGTTTTGGTATGTTTATGTCTTTAATATTTTTATTTATATATTTTTTGTTATTACTTGGATTTATATGTTCTAATTTATATTTCTTAAATTAAAAAAAATTATTTGTTAGCTTCTTATTAGTTTATAGAATTATTAAAAAGTTTGATATAGAACCCTTTGTAGATGATTTTAATGACATAAAGGAGAGAAGAGTTAAGTTTTCTTTATTTAAAAAGGCAAACTAACTTTTGACATATTATTATATAATTTATAATATTTTTAGTTAAATGTTCTGTTTTTTTTTTTTTTTGGTTAAACATTTGGCCTCTCAAGAATTGGCTGGTTCCACCCCTGGCTACAATCAACTTTGATGAATCTCATCTCCACGATCATGAATCTGATATTTTATCTCCATCAAAGTAAAGTTGTTATTCATTCTCACTTCATAATTTGGTGTACTTATTTACTCCCTCTAGTCCCGAATATATTTATAATTATAAATCACTTCATGATTCTGGATAAATAATTCGAGAGGAATAGACATAACACATAATATCCACATTGGTGTAAATAATCTGTAACTGGTAAGCAGAGTAGGGCAAAGTAATCAAACCAAACTAGGACCAGGATCGGACGTAATGTGTGCCCAAAACATGGGTCTCTCAATTGGGATCAGAACTTGAACAGTCCTAAGCCAAATTTGGGTGTTACACACCAGAAATAACAAGTGAACCCTACGAGCAAATTACAATAACAGTCAAATTAGCGAATTCTCAAAAACAGAACGGTAAATAAAACCCACCCAGTAGCAAGTAAAGAAACACCCTTTGCTTCCATATTGCCATGTACAAGAGTGTTCAGTCAGAAACTTCAAATTGGCAAGCAAGCCAAATTTTCGGTCTTAATTAGGAATCATTTGGATTTTATTCTTGCTCGTGAAGCAGGGCCACCCAGCAGGCTCACAGATCTTCACATCCAATCCAAGTCAACTGGGCAAGTTGTTCACATAACACACTAGAACATTACAACTTACACTTGTCAACATCAAAACATGGAAAGAAAATGTGACACCACTTAAACAGATAAGAGAAACTTTAGCAGATCAATGGATCTGATCCTTGCTGTCATCAGCCACCCTAGACGGCTGATCAGAGAGGGAAGCTGATTCGATGCTCTTGGTCCTCTGGAGGCTTGTGGTCCGGTGGAGGCGGCACCGGAACGAACCGGCATGCGTGGTGGGAGAGCAAAGACAATTGGTCTTGTTCATACTGTTCTGTCTTGTGAGCCCACCATGACCATGAGCATTACCTTGTAGCTCCATCCCAGTTTCACTCCCTGATGGCACCTCAATTTTCATTTCCTTGCTTCTAATGGCTGTCTTGTCACTTTCCATGCCCTTCCTTTTTTCTTCCTCCTTCAATATTACGCCCGAAACCAGACAAAAATAGCTCAAGATCAATAGGATTCCGATCGATAGGCCAGGAAAACATAGACAAATCAGATGGGTAAGGAAAAGATACAGAAATGTTAATAGGGTTTAAAAATCTGGTTCACATTGCATTGCGACTCAAAAATCTCTGCCTTTTCTGTCGATAGTCACGGGCTTTGACATTTGTGAGGATCAAACTCTATCAAGGGGTGCCGGCTACAATAAGATTGCTTTTGGTGAATAGAGTTCAACTACTGGGTGATGAATCATGTCGACAAGAGCTATTTGCTATCAACTTTTTACTTTTTCGTTTTGTGGAGTTAGCATTGAATCATGATATTGATGGGTACTCGCCCTTGTGATGGCGCACGTTCGAGAGTACGTGGGTGTCTACTCGTGAATCTTCTTTGTGGGTCTTAATTTGGAGTTGGCTTACGTGGAATTGAATGATTTAATTAAAGTCCCTTGTTCTTAGTACTTGAAATCTCTATGTATTTGATCGGCGCAACTTGTAATTTAGCCGGGATCCATTTTTATTTTTTTTGTCTCGATTAGATTAATTTCGAGGACAAAATATTCCTAGGATATATGGTGGTGACTTGTGAGAGTAGAAATCGTCAGCTTCAAAGGGTTCGAATGAAAAACTGGTGAATTAATTATGGACAAAACATTTCAATGGCCGCCGGTGATGGATTGTGACAATTCATAACTAGCTTCATGCATTGGGCTTGGGGTTTATGTCTTCTGGACATGAACAGAACCATTGTTGATGTTAGATTGTTTCTTCTATCGAAGGCCTATGAGCCTGTTTGAAATTGTGCAGAAATTGTCGAAGGCCCGTTGTTGTTTTAAAAAAGGAAACGGATAATCTTGCCTTTCAATCGCAGCCATTTTTCTTGAGTAGCCCAAACTGAATTTTAACTGTACCTCTTTACTTACTCAATGTGAGAATGACAACAAGTTACCCTTTTCATTTTAAAATGTAGGACATTTTTTATAAATTTGAGATAGTTCAACTTCCTGCATTCTACAATATAGAAAATCTTCTAAAAATTTTATTTAATTTAAAATATAGGATATCAGATAGTTTTTATAATTGTTTTTCAACCACCCTACTTCATTTATTATGATCTTTTATAAAAAATAGTACATTAAAATTTTAATTATTATTATTAAGGTGCTTATAAAGAACATTTTTTTATAATCGTGAAATAATTATCAATGTCTTATATTGTAGTTCAAATTTCAATGGGAGTAAGACATTTTGTAGCTCTGAAAAATATCTTTTCATTTTTATCTTTATTTTTTTTCTTGCCCATCTCCCCTATGTTGGCTAGTATGTGCTGAATTTATATATGAAAAATTGTGTGTTAGTTGTAACTAAGAGTAAAATTGATAAAATAAGTCTCCTCATGGATAAGATATAAGTCCGATTCTTCAAGATACATATAATTTTTTTTTTTGGTAAAAGATACATATCATTTTTACTCCTTAATATGTTCAATGCATGTTGGAAGTCTTCTACATTATGAACCGAGAGTATCTATTTGAAACTAGGAAGTATTGATATTTGACCCAAAAAAAAAAGTAAATGTACTCATTTGTGATATGATATTTGTTCAGCACTTTAGGATACGTATCGTATCATATATTCTATCCGTTGTATTACTATATTTTTTTTGTTAAAATGTCTACGTATGAGTTAAAAACTTTAAAAAAATTAATATTTTGATTTATTATTATACAAATCATTTTATTATATGTTGGAAACTCAAGATACTCATGTGTGTGCGTATACATGTATATAGATCCTAAAATTTGCAAGAGTTAGATAGCATCAGAGCAAGGAAAGTTGGCAAACTATATTCTATTTGTTTTTAATAAATTCACATTTTTCTTGCTTCTCATCAATCAAAATATTTTAAATCAGGAATAAACTTAAAAAAATAACATCTTTTTTCAAAAATTGTTAGCCGAAAATTATTATAAAAAAGACAAGAAACAGGGGAACGAATGCAGGTACTAGCTTTTTTTCTTGGCCAAAGGGGCATGAAGGTAGCTAGGTTAGAGGAGGGAGTCAACGTGGGAGTTTCGAGAGAAGAAAAGAGGGAAAAGCTTTTGGGGGATAATATGTGAAACAAAACCGACAGGCAGATTTATGGAAGTCTCATCCAAAGATTTGGCTGCAAAAACCCCTTCAAAGCTTCAGACACTATCTGCAACTAAAACAGGGTTAGGACACAGTTTGGTGCTGTGATCAAGGCCATCAGAGACAAGCACGCTTAACTGATGTTCATCCAAGTAGCATAGTAAATACAATTAAAAAATAAAAAAGCTACGTCTTGAGTACTAAGGAGAGTGCAGAAACGTACGAGCAGGACCGGGACGTGGACTTGGATTTGACGGCGGCGGCGGCGGAGGAGGACGGGATGGTTTCTTCGAGGCTGCCGAGGGTACCATGTTTTAGATTCCTACACTAATGCTTGGCCAACGCAACGTTTGGATGCCTTCAAAAGCCATTCTTCAAACCAAACACTAATCTCACTCACACTGGTTCCATCGCTTTCTCTTGCTTTGTGTTCCTATTTTCTAGTTCGTTTTCTTTTTTGTTAACGACCTGCGTTTGCTTTACCGAGCCGTCGATCTGCTTGGCTTTCTTTCTCCCACGTACCTATACATTACTTTACTGCTAACATTATTATCTCATATTCATGCATGTCTAAATTCCATTATAAAGGAATTTAAAACATTGTCTCAATATTCACAGGCCAATCAATTATTGTTGGTATTCAAATTTCATTGCACTGTCTTTTTTTGGTGCACCAAGGGAGCGTAGTATAAACATGTTACAAGAGAAATTGCCAGACTATTATTTTTTTATTATAAGAGAAAAAGCAAGATTCAAGAAGTACGTGCTTATTACATTTTTTTTTAAATTGCCCCTCAAAAATTCAAAGTTTATTTTTATGAGACAAACTCGTTTAATTAATCGCAATGATATTTTAGTCCAAATTTTTTAATTTCAATCAATTATTAGGATTAACAAACTTTCTTAAATTGTGTGAGGTGATTAAAATTTGCTTATATTTGAAAATGAATGAGTACATATATATACACACACAAAGAAATTTTTAATTTTGGATATTTATTTCTTCACTCTAACTCAAGGTACAAAAATTTTAAACTAGTTATGTATAATTAGAAACGATTTTATTGAAGTGACAATAAATAGTTTCTATTTCCACGCAAATGAATAGGGGCATTAAATTTTTATAATATATATTTTGAAATATCTAGTGCTTGTGTAATTTTAAATAATGATTGATTATTTATTATTGACCGTAAGTAAATAATAAATTATTTGATTTTATACTGACATCATGTTGCAGCTAATAAATAATAAAAATAATTTGCCACTTGAGGCAAACTTAGGTGATGAGGGTTGGTTGGGGCAATAGTAAAGCTCTTGAATTTAAATATTATTGATATAATAATAATAATTTTAATTTTATACGATATATTAATTCAATATTACAATTTGATAATTATTGCCGCTCATGAGTAAGAAATCAACTATGTGATGTGTATATTTCCCCCAGTCCTAATTATAAAGTAAAGTTAACCAATTTCATGGTTGTTATGGAACAATAGTTTATATTATTGAACTTGTTAAAAATGTTTGACTTTTCAATTTTACCCTTCACTCAATAACCATAATAAAATGTGTCAAAGAATTATTTCCTCCAGTCTTTAATAAGGTGACATTAACTAACTTCTACTATATTTATTAAGAAATGTTAGTTATTAGTTATTGCATTAAAATTGTAAAAAACTATGTAACTTTTTTATTTTACCCTTCTTTACAATTAATAACCATAATAAATTGAGAAAAATATTAATTTATGAATTTTGCCATATTTTGAGTTCAAATAGGCTTTTAAAACTATCTTATAATTAAGACCGAAGGGACTGTAAATATACACCATATATATGTCCTCCGGACAATATCGCGTGTGTGTGTAGTACCCGAAACCTTCACTTTGTATTGCTTCAGAACATAAAAAACTCACACACATCCTAGCGTATACCAAGCTCAAAATTAGTTATTTGTGATAAATAACTCATGGACACAATATTTTTGGTAACTGTATCAATTTTGAAACCCATCTCTCAAAAGGCCAAACCAGGTGAAAAGTTTAAGTAAAATGTAGTATTACAAATACAATTGTACTCAAAGGCATGAGGTGGAGTGTGTGCATGTGTGTGGAGATGATATTAATAAAAAGGGAGAGTTACGTTGTAAATTAAATTAAAGTGGTTGTTGTTGTTGTTGTATGAGTCTCAATTATTACGCGCATGCTTCTCCTGCTCTCTCCCTGATAACACACTTATTGCATTATTGCTATTTCTGTTTTACATGTCCCTCCCTCCATTAATAACAGCCTTTCCCTTCTTCCTCATAATTTTGCTTACAAGAGCCACACCGCTCCCAACACAATCATGCCTGCTTCTGATCGCTAGACCTTTAATACCATTTCACTCGGAAGAGGATCTAACAGGTCAGTCTGATCTCTCACACTTTATTTACCATACATGTGCTTATTTGAGTAGTAGCCAAACGTGGGGACATATATATCTTGATAGTCCTCCAAAAAGGTAAATGACTCGGGATATGCTAGTCTTCTTAATTTACCCGACTCAGTATATGAAATATGAACACCGTGTTATATGTGTGTGTGTGTGTGTGTGTGTGTGTGTGGATGTTGCAGAAGCAGGAGAAGCGGGGATTTTAATGAAAGGTGCCTGTGATGCTGATAGGGATATGGAGATGATCGAGAGTGACCCAATACTACACTGTTGCCTTACGTGCAATATCAGTGGCAACAGTATATTAGAAAGAACAATGACACCACCCTCATATCTTGGGCTATTTATATTCATCTCAATAATTTATTTGCTTTCATCATTTCATTTGACGTCACAAGCCAAGACTGTAATCTTATATCACGTGTCCTTGCATCAGATCTTGTCGATCGTAGATGATGAGTTTGCCTCCAATTAAAAGGGGAATATAATGAAGTACTGTTTTACAAATGAATTTTTTTTTTAAAATATATTTATGTCATGAAACGGGGGGAGTGATTTTTTA